GCTTTATGCTCGGTTGAACTGACTACGTTAAAAGGCATTTCCCTAGTCACCTTCACATGAACATCTTTTTTCTCCTTTTCAAGAGATTTTATAATTTGCGATCTCAAGTCCCTCTTTTGAAAGAATTCAAACTGAAATTACGTATGGATTAGAAAGATTAAATGACTGTTGCTTTCAGGTTTGGTGGTGGGTTTTTTTTAACAGGAAGATTGAAACTGAGTATTATAAAAAAAGTGCATCAACCCCACTAGCAAACTGAAAAGCTTTTAAAAATCTCTCACCTCAATTAAATTGAGGAGCCATAAACAGAACGACACACGTTACCTATCATTTACCATACCTGAAAGAGATTTTGACTGATTTCATCTGGATAAATGGATGTTCTGCTTTTCAAAGATAGACATGCAGACTCTTCCAAAACATACTTATGTACGATTTCAGGGAAGAGTAACTGGAAATTGAGCAACAGGGACCACACAGTTTTTAAGTGTTTCACCAAACGGATGCACTACAGTAAAAATTTCCACAATTTCCACAATTTTTAAATCCAGTCCTGGCAAGAAGTTTGCATCCAAACTAAGTATCAGATGAATATAAGGGGGACAAGGAAAGGTGGTTCTGTGAGGGGTAAGGATTTCCATAAAGGAGAGAAGCAAGAAAGCTGCGTTTCTTTTGTCCATTCAATTTTTTGTAGTATCAAGAGGTACAAGTGGGCTGTTCCATTAGGGGATTCATGGTGGAAGCTGAAGGGACAGAAAGGCAGGCATGAGGCAGTGTCCTCACCAGCAAACAGCACAGTGCCATCATACATGTTCCACACAAGAAGATGAGCAAAGCAGGGCCAGTGATAGCAAACTTGGCCAGCCAGCAATGGCTAGGTAAGCCTGTAAGTGATGAAGTAGGTCCAATGTCAAGCCAGGAAGTTGTCAGCAGGTGAGGACTAGGATCAAGCACAGCTCCAAGATAGTTATGGTGAGGACTAAGACCTGAAAGTGAACACAGCTCCAAGCTGATCAAAGGAGTTTCCTAGCAAGACTTGTCACAGCCCTTTTTGCATATAGCAATTTTCACAGCAGTCTGAAGAAAGTAACACAGCTACACCACCAAAGAACTGGCTTTGAGCACAGGCAGTCATACCCATGAAGAGGCAGGTGCACCGAGAGCTCCTTCCCATTTATGAAGTTCTCATACGCTAGAGATCCTACTCACGTGAGCATCTGAAATGGTTTCCCTTGGAAGTTATCATTGTTGGTGTACAGCATGTATCAAAATAAATTGACAATATAAACTAGCTAGACTGATTAAGTATGTGAATCACCCTTGCTCTTCAAAACCAAATAAAATATAAATTAACTAAGAGAGGATGGTTTTCACTGGTGATTTTAATAATATTTTATGCAAAACACTATTTATATCCTCCTAATTACTCATTTATCCAGTGATCATTTCAGACAGTATGTATAAGGACCCATGTATATGAAAACAGGGATTGTCTCATGTTGACTCACTGTAGCTTGTTGCATTTCCTTTCCCCAGCAATTTATCTTCCTAAGAACAGAAGGAAAATGGATGCATTTGGTGAATTTGATGAACATCTACAATATTAGCAAGTCTTTCATTTTACATCATTAAATGATGTGAAACTGAAGTGTATATTCTAATATGTAAGAACATCTGAGATTTCACCAGCTCTGTATAGTCAGCACACACTATTTCTGCTGACAAGTCAGAGAAATCATATGAAGAAATAAAAAAAGATTGCTCCCTGGCAAGATTTGTCATACTTCGCGCAAGCTGCTCACAGGCTTTTAATTCCAAAATGGCACTACACCAGTTTGGGTATGTGCCTTTCAAAAGTACAAAAAAGTTAGATGCAAACCTATTTTATTAAATTGTTTAATAAATAAAATGAATAGTGGAACCTTCTCCCAGGGATTGTGGTTTATTGCCTGTGCAGAACTCCCTTTGTAACTAGCCACGAAATCAGACCATCCTTCACCAAGGTACAGGCGCAGACAAGATGGGTACTTAACAGATGTCCTGCTACAGCTGGTCCTGACAGTTGCACACTTCCTTCCTCCATCACTGGCAGCATTCTTGAAAAGTGCCACTTAAAAGCAAGTTCATAGGAACGGTATCAAACTTTTCTCTGCTTCCCCCAAACTGAAAGGTCTACAGTCCCTTTTTCTCTTCTTTTTTCCCCCACTTCTTTAGGAACATCATCTTTAAAACTTCATATTGAAATGCAAATTGGAAGGCTTGCTCTCAAGCCAAATGCCTATTAAAAACCACAACGACAAAAAAAAATCAGCTTTGCACAAAATGCGAATAACCTAAGAAATCTTCACAAAACCTCTACTGTCAAAGATCTAAACATAATTAAGAAAACAGGAGTGTTTAGTGCAGTAAAAAATACAATAGGCTGATGTTCTGTCATCAGAGGAGGTCCTCTTGAAGTTCAAACATGAGGTGAATAACTCAGCATTTTGACTCCAGCTTTTCCTCTTTCTTGAATGCTGTTTTAATGGATGATGATTACCTAATAATAAAGGCTAGTTTTGTATTTCTTTTTTTATTAGACTGACCAAAACAAAGGCAATTTTTTTTCTCTCTTGATCCACATCTGCTTTTACTGATACCTACAAGTCTTGGCTTATATTCACCTTCAGACATCATGCTGGAAATTCTCTGCACACCTCCTAATTAATTTGACTTTTTAAGAAAAACTTTTGTGCCTGGATAATATATTCTTTTGAAATCACTTTGTTCCTTCAGTACAGATCAAAATTTCCACAAACTTCTTCCCCACTTCTCCTATTTTTCCATCACTGCATTCTTCCATGAGAATACCTTTGCTTAGAGGATCCAGGGATTCTCCTGTCCCATGGCTTACATTCTAGATACCTACTTTAATAACAGCTGGGTGCAGTTTTATCCAAGTCACCATTTAAAAGAAATATCTCAAAAGAAAATCTGACCTGTAAGCCTGTATTTTCACAGTGTTGTAGCAGGATTCTCTTTTTACACTAATGTATCAAGTACAGCATTTCCTATTCAACATTTAAAAGTAAATGGAAATTTGCAACGGTAACCAAAAGAAATACACACCTAAATTGCTTGACATTTTCCAGTATGCTAATTATCATGCCACATACAAATATGCATTATTAACAATTAATTTATAGTTCCAACTAGAACTGAGGCAAAATACAAAATAAAACAAGCTAAGGCAGCATACTGCATCTGCAAGGGTTTGAGATTTTGGCTTTTGGGGTTTCTTTTGGGGGGGTGGGTTTTGTTTGGTTGGTTTTTTTGTTTGTTTCAGGGTTTTTTTGGTGGTGGGGGTTTTTTTTTGGTTTTTTTTTTTTTTTTCCTCTTCATGAAAAGGTCAACCTTCAGTTTAAATAAATATAAAAATAAGCCTTCAGTACACTGTGTACTGATGAGCCAGCCAAAAGAGTAACAATTTTGCTGATAAGTTAATAGTTCTAGATTCACCAGCCTGGCATATCTTTGAGAGAACACAAAGACAATGTGGAATCAATACTTTTAAAATACATCTCCATAAATAACATTTACATCTCAATGTGAGATACTTTACAATATCTCAAGAGTCAGCTATAATTTGTATTTGTCTTTATTTCTCTTAACTTTCCTAACCAGGATCACCTAAAATACGTATTTTACTAAAACCCATTTAAAAGAAATTTGTGTGGGTATGAAGACTCTCTTGTCATTATAAATCAGAATATATGACATTACACAGAAGCAGCCCAATAAGTTAACACTGAAATACCATACTTCACATATACCATTTTCTAACTTGAATTATCAGAGGAAAAATAATACACTGCCTTTCAGTATATAACATTTCATGTATGCAAAAGATTTTCTGCTTTTTAACTATTTTTATAACTTAAGTGGTTATTACATTTTCCCTTAGTATATTTCAAAAAATAAGGGCTTGTGTAATGTTGCACTAACTAGAAGAAAATGAGAATAAACTTCCTTCCAATTAGCCTTTCATATACCATTTCCCAATTCTTTTTATAGTATATTTTTATATGAACAGAACCACAAAAAGCACTGAAAAGACAGGTCAGCTAAAAACTGGTTCTGTGTGATCAGCCTAACAGCAGTTCTGTTTAATACCAGGCAGACTTTAAAATAGATCTTTATTTACTAGTTGGAAAAAAAACAATAATTTGAACTGGATATCTGGAAATCAATCCCACATTACTAAAATAGCTTCTGAAACATTATTTAAAAATAAATTGATAGTTAAGTATAAAAGCCTAGCCCTGCCACACTTCAAGGTTAAACTTTACCTGTTATGAGCATAGGTCACTACAGTTTTTAAGTGATTGATTTGTACTTTATATACACCTAGATTATTATTAACTAGCACCTCAATCAGAAGTTCAGGTTCTATTTTACAATGGTTATTTACACAAAGAAACATGGGATCAATGCAATAGCCTAAAACCAAAGTGCTGTGTGGGACTCAATACTAAAACCAATGTAAATAAATTAAAATAGTACAGACAAGGTTTATAAATTAATAAATTCTACAGCATACGGAACATACACAAAACAACTCCACAAAAACATGAATGTGATCGTAAATTGATAAATAAACAGTATGTTAAATAGTAGAATCTCCATAAAATAGTGAAGTATTGTCTCCATTTTGAACATTGGAGGCAAGCACTATTAACAGCTAGGAATTCTCTTATGTAAAATACTAGAACTCTCCTGAGTCCTGTTTGTGAATTAAAAGGCTTACGTTATTTATCTTGTGGTCATTTTTTTCTCCTCCAACATAGCTTAGCATCCTTTTGCTTCTGCACAGTATAATTAAAACACAACACAGTGCTATTCTTTAACCAGGGCCAGCTCTACACAGACATGAAAACACACAAAAGATTTAAGGCAACATCATAATATTGGAGTTGAATTATGCCAGCAAGAATGCTTTTGCTCGAAGCTTAAAAACTTCTTTAAATTAAGTACTGATTTTCATTCTTTGGGACTTCTTCTGTCACTGACTCTATTACCCACAGCTCGGATACGATTTTAAATTTTTTCCCAAATCTTCTCCTGAGTTTCTTTATCTCTTTCACCCGTGAGTGATCTTCTCCTATAACAACATGGGAGACACTCTCTTCAAGGTGAGAGACTACTGTTGCACCATAAAAACGCAGCTCCAAAGCTCTAATTGATAGTGTTGTTCCACGGATTTTGGTTCTGGGCTCATTAACAACAGCATAGCAGTCCACATAAATAATGTTTCCTCTGAATATACTGAGCTGACAGCTGTTCCATGAGTAACGTTCTTCTAACTCTGCAATCACGTCCAAAGGCATAACCTTATTGGCTTTCATTCTTGAGAACACTTCCTTGAGTTGGGTAACATCTGTGTCTGCTGTGTAGCTGTCTCCATAACAATCATACTCACGAGCAAAATGTTCTTTTGTGTCAGGAGACATGTGAATCATAAAGGCTGGCTGCCAAGGCACCAGCATTTTGGTTTGAAAACACTGAAGAAGCCACTCTGCCCTCACCACATCATATTTGTTGGAAGCAATGATGTTCTTCACTCTGACATTCTCAGCTCCTACAATGACACAGTAAGTCTCTGGCCCTGGGTTCTGTACCACGCTGCCACCCCATTCGGCTATTCTGCTTTCCAGTTCAGGCTTTGAGTTGTTTTCCGTTCCTGTCATAACACAAAATTCAACATCTTCAAATACATTTGAAATCTTGTTAACACTAGAAAGATCAGGAGCTTTAAACTGCTCAGCTATTCCAATTATCTTTTTCACCTTTGATACAGTTTTCCTTTTTTTCTCTTGTGGCTCATAATCATCTACATGAAGGTGCCTAGATGCCAGCTTCCCTTCTGCTTTGCTCCTGAGATCTGCTAACATGTCTGAAGTCATGCACTCATACCATTCTTTGTCCTCTCTTATCTTCTCAATTCGGGGGAATCTCAAAGTACAGTCAGTTTTGTACATATCACTGTTAACAATCTCAGCTGCCTTGATCTGAACGATGACAGAGTTGCAAGGTTCAATGTACATTTCAGGTTTTTCAATTCCACACAAAATGTTACAGGGAGGGTCCTTCCTATGGTAGGGCTTCCAGTGTTTAGCCAGTTTCAAACCTAGGTCATACAACTCCTTCATAGTATAGCCAGAGCCAACACGACAAATGGTGTGGAAAATGGTAGGTTTTTCATTCGGACGGGGTGTCTCTGCAATAGCACACAGAAAATGAGACATCATCCCACCACGTGAGCCCTTCCCCCAGTAGCCACCAACAATTAAAAGGTCCAGTTCATCCATCAGCCCACTGACATATTCTGGCTTGATTTTTAACCAGCCTTCCCCACGTTTGTCAGGTTTGTAGGTGGACATAGGGTCTTTCACCATAATCCCTTCCTCTCTGTTGTCTATTGCTTCATTTAAAGCATCAATTACTTCTTTTCTTGTTCTGGCATTTCTTTTATGGATAACATGTATCCTGCCTGTTACTGGTGTAAATACACTATTTAAGATTTCATACCTTTTGCTTAGTACTTCATGCCCCAACTTCTGATCATTAACCATCAATACATCAAATATACAGAAGCAAGTCTGCAGATCAGAGTCCTCCATCATTCTTTTTATGTCAAACCTGTTTCCTTTTTGCATAAAGGTTTGTGTCTCAGGATTGTAAGCCATCATTTCACCATCGAGAATACAATTTTGTATATTGTTCTTAAATGCATTATGAATAAATGGTGTTAATGAACCATCAAGGGGGGAAGCACCAAACTGCTGAGTATAGTCAAATCCATTTCGGGAAAAATATTTATATACATCTCCATCTTTGTGCATCTGTATACGTTCACCGTCCAGCTTAGTTTCTATGTAGAATGTCTGATTATTCATTTGTTTCTCAATTTGCTGGACATCAGCAATAGCAGCAAGCATTGGCTTAAAGGCAGAAAACAACGTGATAGAAACATCGCTAAGTGAGACAGAGGGATCATGCAGTTGTCTGCAAACTTTTTCCAAATCAGTTGTGACATTGTGCAACTCAACAGCATCAGGATGAAAAATGGAAAATATAGTTTGTTGACTGACACCAAGCTTTAGATCCTTTATAATCATCCGGATAAGCCACTTTTGCTCCAGTGCTGTGCTCTGGGTAATCAACTGGAGAAGACTTTTCTTTAATAGACCCTTGTTTTTAGCAACATTATTGTTAGCTATTGCATCTAAGTGTTCATTAACTTGTTCTATTGTCAGCCTGCCCTGTTTTGGGCTTCTAGGTTTCAACACAAAGTATGCAATCATTGCAAAATCTCCAGCGTCCCCACGTGAGCCAGCAGGTGTTCTGTAATTTAAAAGCTTTGCAGCATCTTTTCCATCTTTTGGTAAATGAAGCAGTTCAATGTACAGCTTTGCAAGCATTGTTTCTTTAATTCCATAAGCCATCCTCTCTCTTTCCAACTGTGGAAGAATAAGTCGCATAGCTGGATAAAAAGAATCTGTGACATCTTTCTCCTTTTGATGAAGAGCACCATGGAACTTCCTCCAGGAATCCAGAAACTCCTTGAAATACTTGGTTTTGTCTGGACGAGATTTACACGTCTGTATCCGCTCCAGAGTAGAACACAGATCTGCGAAAGGCACATGAGAGGCCACGGTTCTTTTAGGAGAAGGCTGTGAAGCAGTCGCAGAAGCCATCAGAGTCTGTTTTTCACTAAGAACAACAACAACAAAATATTTTTAGAGAAAGAGCCAGTGTGTTATTTTGTCTTGAATAAAAAATAAAGATATATCTATATCTCTATATATATCTATATATATAGCTATATCTAATTAGGATTTACTGATTTTCTCATTTTGCTAATTAGGATGTAGCCGT